AGCTATTGGGCTTCTTTTCCTATTAATGATGAAAATGGTCACTAGTCTTTGCCAAGTATTTCATATTCTTTCTAACCATCTGACTTGTTGCAGTAAGTTATTCAATCTCTTTTATCAGCAAGAGAACTCAGGTTCAGGAAACAGCAACAACAACACAATGCTTTTCATTTCTTATGGCAGTTGTGCCTGGTACAGAATTCTAAGGATGGCCAATGGTTTGCTCTCGGCTACTCACTTAAAGGTTGATAGTTTGGAACCACCCAGTGATGCTGTGGAAGCAAGACCTGCCTACCTGATTCTGTCAATACCCGTGCCAAGAAAACTCTATAGAGATATTTTGTAGCCCACAGACTTACAATAAGGCAAAACCGACTCAATGGGTTCAGTTTGGTTTTTCTGAGATGACTAAGGGGAAATTCTATCTTTGCAAACAAGCAAACAAAAACCTTCCAGAGCAAATTCATCTACATAAGCATCAAAATAAGGTTCTCTATGTCTCAAAGGTCCGCTTTCATCTTGGCCATTCTCGTCCAGAAAAACAGGAACATTCCCACTCAGCACTGACTCCTTGGACTCCCACACAGAGTTCACCTTTAACCATCCCAAGTGGAATTTGTAGTCATCCTTTCCTCTCAAGTCACCTGGAATCCAAACCTAACATCTCCTCCCTACCCTTCATTCTCCACCAGACACCCGATGGAGTATATCTCAATAATGGTTTTCTAAATGGAGGCAATGTCGGCACAGCAAGCCAGATGCATGCCACAAAGGGACGTGGCTTTATTAAAGATGGAATTGTTCACAAAGCATCCTGAAAAACATCTTAGAAAGAATGGCCTTGCTTATTTTTCAATACCCATCACCGTAGCTCTCCTGCCTAAGTCTACTCAGCTCAATCAGGACTTTCTCAGGAGGGTCCCTAATCTCCTCAGAAACCTCAGGCTCCTTCTCTGTGTATATATCTCAGTCCTGTTTGCCCTATTAACATATGATGACTAAGGGAAACACAGGTATCCCAAAATCTTCTTGGGGATCTTCCTAAGTGTTGTGATTTTCAACTGTCACGGGACAAATAAAATCGAGGCTCTGTCCCATTATCTTCTACGGATTTTGTGTGTGCTTCCCAATGTTCCTCTTGGAAACTGAAGCACCATGGACACATTTCAAACTGCTCTGTATTTATGCCATTCGGGGGCAAAGGTCGAGGCCTATATATTTTTTCTATGTTTTCTTGTTAGCTCTATGCACAGTATGTAGTCCAAACTGAAAAACCAAATTCACTGCCAGCAAGTCAATTCCAACTCATAGCGACCATATAGGACAGAATAGAACTGCCCCTGCAGGTTTCTGAGACTGTAAATCTTTGCAAGAACAGAAAACTCATCCTTCTTCCAAGGAGCAGCTAGCTGGTGGATTCAAATCGCTGCTCCATGTGGGGTGCACTACGCCCCAGGGCTCCTGTGGAGTATGTGGTAGGAGTCCAATAAATGCTGAAGGAATCATGGACAAAAACAGCACTTTCTTTCCCCACTCTGCAGTCCCTGTTTTAGCAAGATTTCACTTGGAAATCACAGCGCATAAGATGTCCCCATGTTTGAAACCAGCGTTTTTCTCTGCTAAGCCTGCGTGTCCTTGTAACTTTGGAACTACGCAAAGTTCGATTGTCATCTCGGGTATCGGGGGACTGTCCTACATAATCACTCCCTCTGCTTTCTACAGGGTCCTGGCGATGCAGTGGTTATGCATTAGGCTGCTAACTACCAAGTCAGCAGTTTGAAACCACCAACTGCTCTGTTAAGGAAAGCTGCAGGCTTGGGCTCCTGTAAAGAGCTGCAGTGGGGGAGGTCCACAAGGGCAACTCGACCTTGTCCTCTAGGCTCTATGAGTGGGAATCAATTCCATGGCACTGAGTTTTATGTTTTCCACAGAAGGTACTAAGCAATAAGGATGTGAATTCCTTGTGGTTGATGATGTTCACAGCAGCTATGTTTTTGGTGCTTAAAAAGAAAGTGGTATAATTGCAAATTGTTGCAACTCTTCCTATGCAGGCAGGGTCAGGAGCCAGAGGGCTGGGGCATGCATTTTTGCTTCATGTCATGTAGTAGAACAAGGGGGCTTCACACTGCAGTTTCTTCCACTGGATGAAACCGGCTGGAGCAAGCACATGCAGCCGCTCACACCGTGGCAGCCGCTGAGTCTGTCCGGAAAATTGCTAAGCCAGCAGCGATTTCCCTGTGGCGTTCCTATTTAATTGAATGAGAGCCAGCAGGTGACTGGTGCCAGGGCGGGAATCACAGGCCCACTCTGGGTCTGTCGCCCTCTGATGGAGGAATAAGACACAGACTCCCGGAGGAGCGCTCCATTCAGCTCAGGGGCGGGGCACACATAGCTTCCTGCGCGCCCCCCCTGGCTTATTTTTTGTTTATATGCTACAGCGTCCTAATTTTGAAACTAACATGTTAGGCGATGAAGATAGGGGGAAGATAATGATTCATGAGATTTATTTTATGAAATAGGTATGCATACTCTGAACTCAAGATTTCTAAGGAAACACATACATTTTCAATATATTTTACACCCCGGTGTTAATGATGGGAGATGATAGGCAAGCGAGCTAGGTGGGGATCAAGAGGTAGTTCCCCCATCAACGTGTCATCGATCCTGCACACAGAACATTTCCTTGAAGTTCACAAACGGGTTATGACTGCAGAGAACTGAGGATTTGGGAAAGGTAAATTCGGCTGCTACTTCTCCACGAAGGTTCCAGAATCAGAAGGCCGTTACACCGTAGCAGATCCCGGTTAAAGAGAATAGCAACTACAGCGGTTCCCACCGGGGCCACGCTGACTCAGAGCCCTCGTGCGTGTCAGCCAGAACCAGACGTCAGAGGGTCATCGATCCCTGCAGAGATTGCCAGGCGTCTTCCAAAGTGCCTCTGGCCGGTGGCAACCTCCAACTTGCACTGCGAGGAGCCTAGTGCCCAAACCCTTTGCACCATTCAGGGGCTCCAAGGAGATTCAGCCTCTCTGTAAGCCCAAGTAGAACTGCTCCGTGGAGTTTGCTTAGCCCCGGGAATGCAGGGATTGCACGTTGGGCCGCTAACCGCAAGGTCAGCAGTTTGAAACCTCTGGTGGTTCTGCAGGAGAAAGACGAGGCTTTCTGCTACC